CGATTTGTTTATGAGTTCTGGGTGGGGCTTATGGGTTATGAGGGACCACATGCTTTCCTCACCAGCAGCTGAAAATTGGTACCTATTGGTCAACAGTGGGAGGGGCCTACCCAACACTATCGGTTGGAGGGACTTCCTAACAACAATGACAGGCGATTGAATTATGACGGCTCGCCCACAACGCCAGGGGCCAGTTAACAATTTATGATAAAACGTAATGGAGTCACTAAGTTGGCCGTCTAAGACAAGTGTTATTGCTTAGTGTGATAGGGGTTGTGTGTTAAAATACGGTGGCCGCGGCCGCGTTGCACAGGTGCTCGTTTTACACAGTTAAATTATATAGAAAAAAAACAAGGGGGAATTGGAAAGCGGCCATTTGTACAGGTGGTCGTCTTATAGAGGTGACCGTCAGGGCAGGTTTGACTGTATATGGCAACAAATGAAAAAAAGCATAAATACCAAATCACCCTGGGGAAATATGTACACACTAAAGAGATCACATTTTATCAGACCTCATCAATTTCATCTGACCTCAGCAAGGCGATGCAAGCTACATCAAAAGAATAGAGAATGCAAGCCGGCTTCAGAATAAGTTGGCCATTGCACAAAGCTGCAGACTATATGCACTCTTTAAGCGTATCAACTATGCTGGAGGGCATCCAAATACAGAAGTCTAGATTCTCATAGACATCAGGCAGATCACTTTTGTCATATGTGCCCAATGTGGCATATTTTGTGTTAATGAAAATTTCATCTAAAAAATCATTCCAAGCCTCCTAGACCCTGAAATAATAGGGGGCTATGATGCCCAGTAGAAAAAGTCTTCAGTGTATGAAGCAGAGGTTAAAGTGACAAAATAAAAAGGCACTTTGCGAGACAAAAAGTTATGCTGCAAGCCACTCCTAAATATGTTAATTGGAGTTAAGGAAATTACTTACAAGAACCTTATATAATCACACTGGGGAAATACATACATCTTATGACATTAAGAAATTTATACACTGCATCACCCTGAGGAAATACATATATACCGGTACATTAACCCTATCTGTACGCCCTGGTGTCATTTTGTATCCCTAGGATTGTATTCTTCACAATTTAGAATACTTCAAGTACGAAGGACTCTGAAAATTTCAGTATTTCTCAAAAAATCATTCCGACAGATTGTTGTGTACGGATCGGATTAACAAGTAAATTTCCTCTTTGGAAAGTGGTGGCATAGAGTTCCCCACGTCGTATGGATACGATAGTAAAACATGACCTACGGATAGGATTAAATCCTGTTGGGGAAGTCCCTAGAGTGTATCACACTGCATGAGGAAATGCATACACCATATCACACAGGAGGAATATGTACCTGTCAAATGAAATGGGGGAAATACAAACACTGTAATAATAATAATAATAATAGATAGCATTTGTATAGCGCCTATCCCCGCTCAACAGCAGGATCTATGCGCTCTACACTATATTATTACCCCAGGAGACCATAGAACACTCCGAAACATTCTCAGCTTCCCGTGAAGTATACAGTGCAAGCAGCTGATTAAGTGCTCAAACACTAACAAACTGACAAGATCTTTTGCTGTCTATAGCCGGGTACCCATTCCCATCTGGGTGAAGTGAGGAAAATTCGTGTAAATTGCCTTTCCCAAGGACACAACGTCGGGCCCCTGACGGGATTCGAGCCCACGACCTTACGGTTGCGAGTCCGAGAGCCTAACCACTAGGCCACCGATGCCACTGTATCATATAAAGGAAATTTATTTACTGTATTTCGCTGGAGAAATACGCAAACACTGAATCACAAAATGGAAAAATGATCACCCAGAAATACATGGGTGAAATGAGTACACATCATCAAACTCTGAAAAATACACACATCATCACACACATGGACAAATCTGCTGTAAGCTGACAAAACGCCTTTTGTCCTTTTTGGCGCCAAATTTTTTTAACTAGCTAAATCGAAAGCCTGATCAGTCACCATACTTGTGAAAAAATCAAAGTGAAATCGTGACTACTTCTTGAATAAATAAGAATTCAAATTTTGGAAGAATGCCTCTTTAAAATGGTTACACTGACAAAAAGTCAAATATCTTTACTTCTATTCGACATAGATTTATATTTTTTTTCACCAAAAGAAAAGCAAATGAACAGGCTTTAAAATGATGTCAATAACCCCAAACGCCCTAAAATTGACGAGCGCCTGATTCCACCTCGTCGTGCCACATATAGGCCTACACACTAGTTAGACCAGAAAAATACTACAGACCTATTAAAGCTTCAAAGGACAAAAAAGTTTAATAGCTCTTTGGCATAGTACTATAACTATTCAAAATAGAACAATCAGACGGTACATTCAGTGCTATAAAGAGTAAAACAGGATAGAGAACAAGAAGAACTATAAACAGCCTAATGAGACAGAACAAAAATATACACAATAAGTAAATCCATGGGACAGTAATACATTATATAAACAATACAACTGGACAGTATCAGAAAAAAGGTCCACTAGACAAAACTATAAATAGCTCCGTGGTTACTCACAGCATGGGAACGAGGATCCCGGCAGCCACAGAAGTCCCTGAAGCCCAACAGACCATGAGGAAATAGATGATGAGGCAGACCACGAGTGGCGCATAGTGGAACATGTAGTGAGAGTTACGTAGGTAGAGAAGTCGAACCGCCTCGTCTTTGGAACTGAATAAAAGCAGGGCCACTGGAAGAATACGTATACACGGAATCAAATCTAGAAATTAAGAGGTTGGGGTGGGGTGGGGGATGAGAGGGAACCAAAGGGTAAAGTGTGGGGGGAAGAAGGGAGATGAAAAATGTGGAGAGAAGGGAATTCATGAGAGTGAAAAGTATTATGTTGTGTGTGTGTG